TTCAAGCTATGTAAATATCAGGAGTTGATTTGATTTAATTTGAATATGAATTGCTAAATTGAAGAGCAACTAGCATTCTGTGGGAGAGCATGTGATGTGTTTCTGTGTGTGAAATGAGAGAAAGATGAAGGGGGTTACGACTTGGACGCTGTCATCTTTGATTCATTGCCTCCCACAGTCATTGTCCGTTCTGTAGAAAGGATTTTTTGAGCCAATCACCTGAGCTGTAAACGCCATGAGACTGATCACTCTATAGAATGCCTTTCAGCAGACAGGGAACAAAACTATTTCTCTCTGCTACAATGCCTTCAAAAAAATGAGTAGGCCTACTAGTGAAGCATTGCGATTGATGTCGTTCCAGACCGTTTCTTCCATCTGTGGAATACAGATGTAGAAAGTCTAAAGAAGGCTCACACTCCTCTTTCCCATTAAACCTCATGCGCTATCATGCGCGAAACCCTAGCGAACTAGCAAAGCTGTCAAACACATCCGACCAGCACGTTTACATAAAAAAACAATGAAAATGCAGCGTAGTCAAATTCAAAAAATGTGTTCTGTGTGAACGACCCCTAATGCATTTCTATGCATTGCTGCTTGTCTCTAGCCTGGTTAAAACCAGACCATTCTCAGTTGTAACTGAGTTATGGTCTGGCAAAGCGTCATAGACAAATCATTTCCAGAGGGGCGTCACCAACGGACGTCGCGGATAGACCTAAAACCAATCAGAGCGATGAAGGAGATGACGTATGCAGAGCGGCGGAGAAACATCTCCGAGTGTCGTTCTTTGCTCGGTTTTTAACAAAAAGGAAGCGTTCAAATCGCTTAAAACAGACGCGATAGCTGATTCGAACGAGTGATGTTCGACGGCGGCATCCATCTTTGTAATGTAGGCTACAAAATCTGCTTCAAAATCCCAGCGCTGTCGTCATCGTGTAAAGCCCGCCCCAACGTTTCTGATTGGTGCCTCGATTTCGACGGATTGGAAATGGGCTTGAATGAGCTCTTTGCCAGACTAACTTTCAGAGCAAATCTAAATTTGCCGGAAGTTGTCTGGGTTTTCCCAAGCTAGCTTGTCTCTGACTTTTGGAGCACAGCTCGCATTCTTTGCATCCTTAGTCGCAGTACATAGTTGAAATATAGGCTAATACATAGAATTGTGTTCTGTGTGTATAAAGTTCTGGTGATAAATCGTAAGGGACAAATAATTCAATTACGTAAAGCATCTTCTCTAGTTACAACAGTGAATAACTGCCGCTCACTGTGGTGCTCAAGTTGATGGCACAATCATACTGCGATTCACATTCAAGGACGGGGCGAAATTGAATTTTGGGTTTGGAGTCTTCGGATCAATCAATCAAAAGAACAGCTTCAGTCTGTAAACAGATCTAGACAGAAGAAAAGATCACGAGTGGGAAAGAAATTGGCCTGTCATCCTCAGCTATTGTGCGTGACATATATAATAGATATATAAAATATACAGATATAAAAAATGATCCATTGTTTATTTTAAAATACATTTTTGTTTTAGTTTTTGATCGGTCAAGGTAGATTAAATATAAGTGCAAAATGCAAATAAGGTTAGACACAGCAAGAAAAAGTAGATGTGTGAGTGGGTCGGTGTTTGTGTCAATGTACCTACCACGCGCCTCAGAGTGACAGCTAGGATTTATTGTTCCACTGATTCGAATCATTTCGTTTTTGTTAGGTCGTTGTTTCATGCAAATCGCCGGAAGAGAGGCTTAGAGAGGGATTGCTTGATGTCTCCGTGTATTAGAACTGCATGAACTGTCATCTAAAGCCCTGTGTGAAAACAAAACCCTGAGATAAGGACATCAGCATTAGTAAAAAAAACATCTGACTTCAATTTATTTTGTGAGATTCAATTCAAATAAGTTTATTTACAAAGAACACGTGAGCCATTATCTCCTTCTTTCAACCTCTACTGCATATATAAATAGCAAATTACACAATGTTCAAATTTTTTTGAATGCATCACATCACAATTTGGTCGGCATCAACCAAAGTTTTGGTACATAATGTATTTGCAAGTCTCTTTTTGTTTTTAAATGTAAACACATCTGCTATTACAAACACTTGCAAGTAGGCTATAACATTTCACAAAAACAGATCCACAAATATACATGTTTATAAGCACTGTATGTTAAATGGTTTGCAGAGTGAAAGTCTTTTGTTAGCCTATGCTAAAAAGCATTCATGCTAAGTCTAATGATTCAAATCTCACATAAATAAAGCTGGCTGATCGACACTAGCTGCTGTTTTTGTCACACCCTCACACTTTTGATGTGTGAAATAAGATCCCTGAAGAAAAACTGGACCGCTGATTTTGTTGACTGTGTGTTTGTGCTGCATTTGGAACATAAAAGAAAAAGTCAACTAAATAATTAGGCACCACTTGACTATCTGGCGTTCTGACTCATAGTCCTCTTTCTCTTGTTAAGAAATGTGTCAGAAGAGGCATGCTGTTAATTGCCACAGACAATAAGTTTGAAATAAATTGTAGGCATAATGTTTACACTGTCTTAATCAGGCAGACGCGAAACGATGAATCGAAAGAACTACTTTAACTAATTGCGTGCTGGCATGTCACCGTGAAATCTGATTGGTCCAAAACCTCACTCATATATTCTGATTGGCTACATCACACAGGAGATTTGCATTTTGTGTGTGGATAAATTGCTTGATGGTATAAATTTGTCGCATCGTACTTGGTTGGGACAGTAATGCACATGCAAATATAATTTTTTAAACCATTTCAGAGGGTTTTAAAGCAGAAATGTTAATTTAATATTGTTGTTAAAATTCTTTAGTACAAAAATATGTGTTAGTTAAAACTTAAGTCACCCTGAAATCAAAATTGACAATTGTTCTTTTTTATGGAATATTGGAGTATTTATTATAAATAATGTATTTTTTTTGCGCATCATTTTTTAAATTCATGTGCCCTTTAATCAAATAATGTAATCTTTAGTCAAAATAACTTCCCTCCCTCTTGCAGCGACATCTCTTCTCTTTTCTGATGATGTGTTTACTGGCGTGAGGGCGGGGCAACCTGTCACTCACATGCGATTGACCAATAGAAAACCACAACCATCCAATCAATTTCCGACAGACAAAATCAAGTCCCGCCCAACATTATTTCTTGTTCAAGAAGCCGTATCACTTGGATATACATAAAAATAGGAAAGAAAAAACTATTGCAACCTCCGTTTCATGTCGACTTTAATTGTCCTAGCACTGGAACTATTTTTCTCGGCAGATGAATTTCTGCTATTACAGATGTAATTCCTATGAGATAACTCTTCATGTAAACAAAAAGTCATTTTCTGGTACTGTTGCACGAATCATGTGAATGTTAGACATTAATATATTTTGAAATGGTCAACTTTCAAATGATTAGTGTTTTTAAATGTTTATTCAATGTAGGCCTACTGCCTGTTAGACTTCCATTGTATATGTATTATTGTTTGTTTTTACATGCTGAAGAACTTGTCAAAATTATTTTCTATGGCAAGAAAGCTTTTAACTACTATTAAACTCAGAATATTCATTGAACACAAATGACACTATTAAAGTTTAATGCTGGTATATCTTATGAATAATTCTCAATTCACATCCCAGTTGGATCCACACTGAAGCCCATAGTGCTAATTAAACGTGGCATTCTCATTTCCTGCAGACAATGTAGGTTAAAAGGAGTAATTTGGTTCTACTGTGGACAGGTATGTCAATAGTAATCCATCAGAAATCCCATAACTTGTATAAGTCATCACTTTTTGCTTAAAGCAGCTTTGGGATCGATTTTCCTTCAGGAAATTGGAGAACATAGGGAAATATTCTTGTGTTGGTAGATCAATTCCTATTAATAAACATATTGTGTGTCAGATGTTATATATATATATATATATATATATATATATATATATACATATGCCATGTAATTACATTCATTTGTCACGGTGATAGCTTTACAGAGGAGAACAACATACAGTAGAAAGCACATTTCCATTACCAGTACAATGTTGTGTTTTTTCTTTTTTTCCTATGTTGTCACATGCCAACCCATTACTAGGGTTATGTTTTTAAAAAGTGAACTAGCAAGTGAACAGTCCACTTTGATCCATCAGGTACTGTCAATGATAATTCTTTGTGCTGTATTTTATATGAAACACATTCTTAATATTTTAATATGAAAAATATTGAACTGACAGAATGTCCTTCAAGGTTTTAATGGAGGGGATAATACAGATCTGTTGAAACATTCAAACCGCAGGGGTAGAAACTTCTCCCTGTCTTTGTGCTGTTGTTAGTCTAAAGGAGTGCCGGCACACTATTCCTCAGTGCAAATTACTTTCAGATGAAAGGCGATGCAATTTGCTGTTAACACTTTCCAGAGCCATTTGAATGCTCGACCTGCCTGTAAGTCCACACGAGATGATGACTGCTAAACAACTACAGAGCCATTGTGAGGTACAAGATCTAAGGTGCACAAATTTGTTGTATGACAACACCCAAAACTGTTTAAGGATGAGGAACCTTCTTCAACGATGAACAAAACTGTGCACAGTTGTCTATAGCAACGGAGAAGCATCCGCACAGCAAGATCCAGAAATAATGTTTAAAATGTTCTTATTTCAAGTATATATGTTTTTATATATTTTATATCTCCCATTCAGTCACCTCATAGAACTTCGTGTAGAGGCATTGATGAAGAAGATGAGAATATCTTACAAACATGAAGAGCTCTACTCATCTGTGCTCTTTTATTGAACTCACAGTGTAGAATTTAGCTAGGTCACATTGTTGCAAAGATGCCATCAGCACAATTTCATGTAACAGGGACATGGACAGCAAGACCTTGAACATACAGTAGAGTGAAATAAAGCACTTCCAAACTCCATTCCCACAGTGTAGTGTAAACCAGTATACTGTAGATGGGAAACAAACCATGATGACAAGCAGATCAGCCATGGCAAGGTGATGGTATGAAGCTTCTTAAATTTGGAGACCACATAAATCACCAGGGAGATGCAATGAATCCACCACTATGAATCCTCGACAGTGTTGTTGAGTTCACATCAGGAATCCTTTCAGTATCCTCACCTAAACAATGTAAATAGAAAGAGGGAAAGTTTATAGATTAGATAGATAGATAGATAGATAGATAGATAGATAGATAGATAGATAGATAGATAGATAGATAGATAGATAGATAGATAGATAGATAGATTTGGTTTACTGTTGTCACCTCAGACATCTGTTGCGTTGAGATGTGTGGTCACCATATCTTGAGCTTCCAAAGCCTTTTTTGGTTTGCTGCGAACCGCTGGGGCAGCCTGGCCTTCGATGTGCAACGAATCAAGCCGTTCCTTGCAACGGAAGACCGCAACAAAGGCGCTGCGGTAGTTGCGGTTCATCCAACCATACACCAGTGGGTTGGCGAACGTAGAGCACATGGCCACAATGTGGAAAACTGTGTAAAGAAGCCGGAAGTCCTTCATGTCCAACACGCTGTGGTCAATGTCAATGGCGAGTTGGAAGGCGTGAAAAGGCAACCAGCTGACTGCAAACACCACAACCTGCAACAGACCGGGTCAGAGGTTATCTGCATGCGTGCCGCATCACGACTGGGCAAGCTGCGATAAAAACGCCTTGTTGCTCTACATGCTGGTATAATTCTCTATTTATATTATTGCCAATAACCTCTTTCAAAATAACTGTGAAGAAAATAGCTCTGAAATATTTGGGTTACAGAAAACTACTCCTTATGTGGAAATGCTCTTGGGAAAAAAGCATGCTGTTCTAGCAGTCCTGGCTCAAGAGAATAAACAGAGAAAGTACACAAACTAAAAATGTAAAAGGTCCTTGTTGTGAACATCAGAACACATCTACTGTAGAAATCCAGGTTATAGATTTGTTAGTGATAGGCTGACATAATGGCCGAAGCAAGTGATATTTGCTCATGTCAAGATTATTGGAAGGCTTTCAATAATCTTGACCAAGAAGTTACTCTAAAAAAGTAATGAATTACTAGCTACTAATTAAATCTTTAACAGTGTAATTAGATTACCACTTAAACTCTCTCAAATGTATTGCATTACGTATTACTATTTACCTTCTAAATCCCTTATCAATCTCAACCAGTTGAACAATACAAGGATAAACATGAAACTGCTCTATTAATTCTTTTAAAATAAATAACATAAAATTTCATAATTTATTCTTGAACTGACCAAAGTATTTAAAGGGAGATTACATTAAAAACATACATTTTAACATTAGACAATACATTTTGATGCTAAACCCACTATTGTTTTTACATAGAATTGTTCTATACAGTATTTAATGCAATTACATCAGAAGTAACTAATTAAATTAAAGAATAATTAAGAGTAATCCCTTACTTTACTTTTTCAAGGGAAAATTATTTAAATGACAGGTATTAATTACTTAGTAATACATTACACCCAACACTGGTCTTAACATTGCCAAATATCAGCATTTTCAGCCTGTTTTAATGTATTTTATATAATTTTTTATTATTATTTATTTTCATTATTTTAATTCCTTCTATGTAAAGAACTTTGAATTGCCACTGTGTATGAAATGTGCTAAATAAATAAATGTGCCTTGCCTTTTCATAATCTATAAAATACTTTCCATAGTATAACATACGTGTGTGTATATGTTCACACACACACATATATATATATAGGCTTTTTGCTGTCTTCTATGTGTGAAATTCTAAAATGATACGAAGATGCAGGAATACTATTATATTATGTAATATTCACTTAGTAAGGCTGGTAACTGTACACACCATGGTTACCAGCATCTTGGTGGTCTTGCGGCGGCGCTGGTGCCTGTCGCTGCGACCAACTGGGCTGACATGATTGCGGAGTTTACTCCAGATACGGATGTAGGCAAAAGAGATGATAGCCAGAGGCAATATATATTGCAGCAGCAGCGTGGAGATTCTGGAGAAAGAAAACACAGCCGTAATCGATGTAAGTGCAGCTGAAGAGTGTCATTATGCTATTGTTAAAGATGATTTCATAAAACATGTACTTTTGTTCCAAAATTAAACAAGCCATGACTCATTTTAGATGTAATTTATCTGTTACGGATCAAACAAGGCTTTCAAAGATAAAAAGAGAAAAAAACTATGAGCATATACAGCAACCTTGAGTCAAAATCTAAATACTTCACGATGTTTCAGATGATCAAAATCCAGATGATGTCTGTTTACGTAGATATCAAAGTTTCAATCATCACAAATATGTATATTTATCTATAATATATGCAGATCTTTGAGCTTTCAGTGCAATTGTGAAACAGCGGCACTTGATAAATGAACACAGAATACATTTGCGGAATCTTGAGGGCACGAGGAAACTGTAATAATGCGTTCATTAAAATATGCATGTCTGATACTCACGAGTATAGAGTGCTGTCTGTACTACTGTCAGGCCATTTCTCTCCACAAACCTCAATGGAGTCATCTGGAGAAAGATCTACAATCCCATACTCTCTGAATATGGCCAGTGGGCTCGCCAAGACGGCACTTACTATCCAGGTGATGGCAATGACCAGAAAGCAGGTGTCCTTTGACATTCGAGTGTCTAGGTGGTAAACGATGCATCTATGCCGGTCCAGTGCAATTACATTTAATGTAATTGTAGAGACATGGACAGCGAGACCTTGAGCGTACGGCAGAGTGAAACAAAGCACTTGTCCAAACTTCCATTCCCTGAGGAGAGTGTAAGCCAGCGTGAACGGGAGACACAACGTGTTGACGAGTAGATCGGCCACGGCCAGGTTTGCAATGAAGAAGTTGGTGACGGTACGAAGTGTCTTAAATTTGTAAACCACATAAATCACCAGGGAGTTACCCACAACGCCCAAAAGGATGATGGTAGAATACGCCAAGATCAGAACCACCTGGACCCCGAGAAGCTTAGTGCTGTCTCCCAGCTCTAGCAAAGGATGATTCAGAGACATGTCAGATGAATCCTCCCCAATGGCCAGGTCTTTGCTCCCAGAGGAGCCATTGATTAAGCTGATGGAATCCATTTAACACATGGCAATGCTAGATTTTGGAGAAAGACCAAGCTGTCCTTAGGTTTGACAACCTGAAAACACAGGTTTGAATTGACATTAGAAATCCTTTCAGATAAATAGATGGATGAATGAATGGATGGATGGATGGGTGAGTGGGTGGTTGGAAGGATGGACAGAGAGACAGACAGACAGACAGATAGATAATATATCTATAATCTAATATAATAGGCAATAAAATATACAGAAAATAATAAACATTATACAAAAATTAACACCAAAAGTTTGTTTATGTTTATCACGACTGTAGGGCTTGAAGAACTAATCTTGTTTTTGAAAATCTTTCCTTAAATAATTGTAAAACTTATACTGTAATAAATATGTAAATAAATGACATCTACCATCGGCATATATTAAAGAAAATCTATAAAAAATGAACCTATTTCGAATTTACATACCATACTTACTGCGTATTAAGAAACTCTCGCGGGCTATGAATATTTTATATCCTCTCAGAGAGAGTCTGACAGAATAAAAAAAAAAACTTGGCGTGACCAAACTGTTTTATTTCCAACAGCAAAAGAAGCCGTATCGACTTATTCTGAGGCAACTTGTCAGGTCACTTTCATTAAGGACAAATGTATTCTGCGGGTTAAAAACTCATTACGCACGGCTTGCCTGCGCTCGAGCACACTCCTCCAACGTCTTTATCTGAGAGACAAATAAATAGGTACATGAAACCATTATCACTAGGAGACATAAACACACACCGGAGTCCGTGGAAACTTCATGGCACACTTCCCAGGACACGGACACCGACGGAGAAATGGTCCGTGAAGGAGCGCACGAAGCGCACAAACTAAACGAAAATTGCGAAACGTAGCCTACAAATGTTCGTAGTCTGTATTATTAATGCCCGTTTGATGAAAATACGCGTTTGGACTAACAATGGATTATACTGGAATGACTTACCAATGTCCAGGCAGCGCATTCACCGTCTCCAATAATACGTCGTGCAAGTCAGGATACATCACCATCAGTTAAATATAGATCTTTAGAAATGGTATAGTTATATCTATACATTGATAAAAAATAAACAAGTACAAGTTCTTCTGTTTGATTTTTCAATCAATATGTTTCCCTGAATGAAAGGTTGATGTTTCAGATGAGGTGGGCTGTGGAGCTCAACCGTCTCTCTGACGCTCGCGACTGAATTAGACATCCATCCACACAAGCCAAACCCACAAGTCCAGAGTTCTCGATAGGAAAGAGAGGGGGAGAGACATAAATCACGATGGTTAGGTTCAGTTGAGAAAAAATAACCTGTGCATGCTTTATGATTTTTATCAAACTGCACCGGTAAAAAAAAACAATACAACCACTAAGGCAACAATATTAAACAATGTGTTAGGCTAAATGTTGCAGTTTCATAGTCTGTCATATTGCAGTTGTGTTTGGTAAAAACAATGGTTTGACATTTTTTGTATGTTATGTATCTTTAATGTTGTGCTTTATTAATTTGTGTTATAATTGTTTTAATATTTAGATTTTGCTGATGGGTTATCAATGTGGGTTTTTTTGTTGTTGTATTTTCTGTAGTGCAGGCATTGTAGAATGACAAGAGAAATTTACAGAATTGTAGTTGGAAAACAGGAATTTAACACAGGTTCTGCATTCTGGGTTCTTCCACCCTGAAAAATATATAGGCCCTATAAACATTCTCAAACTTAAAGGCAGTTTAAACTTAAAAAAAAAAAAAAAAACTTCAATAAGATTCTATCAGGCCAACATTCACAGTTTGTCTAAAAACTAACAGTTAAAAAGTAAAAAATTGCAATAATGTGAACTTTATATTTCAATCATTTTAATTGCTTCCTTATATTCAAATGTGAATTGGCAAATCTGCATTCTGTTTGTGTAACGGACGTAGGCCAGTAAGAGCTGTGCGTGTAAACCTCACTCCCCTGATCTCAAGAGGAGCACTAGTGACTGACGCTATAGCGGCTGCAGTCTTTAGCTTCCTTGTCAGCGCCTGCCTCCCATGCCGGAGACGCCGGATCGAGTAGGACCGGTTATATTTGGTGCCGAGAGGACCGGTTACATTTGGTGCCGTGACCCGGGTGGGAGTGAGGTTTGGGGGGGGAGTGTAACGGACGTAGGCCAGTAAGAACTGTACGTGTAAACCTCACTCCCCTGGCCTCAGGAGGCACTCTAGCAACTGACGCTACCGGCTGCGTTCTTTAGCGCCCTTGTTAGCTCCCCCAGAGACGCCAGTTCGAGTCCTGCTCGGAGCGAGTCGAGTAAGACCGGTTACATTTGCTACCTCAATTCAAATTCTCAATTCACTGCTGAATGGAGAACGACTGTTAGACACATTGAGTTATGCTCCAGTGTTCTGTCATTATTTAAACAATCACCATGAGTTTATTCCATGGAAGACAAATTCTGTTTTGTAGAATTTCTTAGCTTGATGTCCTATTAAAAAAGAACATCATGGGTTTGGAATGACATGAGGTAAGTAAATGATTTTTCATTTGTACATTTGTAACTCTCCCTCTGTTCAAACACACTCTGTCTTTGGATGTTGAAATATGTACAAATGTATGTACACACTTTAATAAGTTTAATAAGTGGACACAACACTGTGCAAGGGAGTCATTAAAATGCTCGCATTCACTTTTGTGACTGAGCCTCTCATGTTTGTTTTGACTAACAGATGAAGCCCTCAAGTCAGAAACAGTGACTCTAATGGTGTGTTTACGGCAGTCTGTCCATCACACTGTGTATGAACTAATTATGCTGAATACAGCTAACTATTGATGCATGTTGAAATATCTTGTCATGAGAAATCACATTCATTTTCTGCCCAAATGCATTTTTGTAAACTTTTGTCATACCAAAAAACAAACTAGGCAGATATACATAACAAATCTAACGGTGTGTGCATGTGTTTTTGTGCCCCGAGAAAGTGCGTGCTTCCATGCATATTTGTGTGTTTTTGTATTTTAATATACTTATGCAGCAAAAGGTTCACAGTTGGCCGAGGGCATACGGCTGTGATATATATTGGCATATACTGTGTGTGTGTTTTGCCATGTTTCTGTGCTTTAGTCTTAGAAAATGTGTGTTTTTAATATATTTACCAAGCAGCAGGGTAGAAGCTGTCTGTGAGAGTTTGGCTGTGATATATTACATGAGTTTAATGATGGAGATTAGACCGGCCTTTTGCACAGCCTTTCCCAACAGTGAGCTGCTCTCCAATTCCTCTTATCGCTGCACCATTAGATGTGGGACAAAAAAAGTAAAGGAATTGAAAACGCTGTTCTGTTCATCTTAAACTTGCTGGTAGTTGCAGTCCTTTTAAAATGAGCTTTAAGCCTTTATTTTCAGCCTAAAATGATCTGAAAACTAATGCATTTGCATCCAAATCTTTTGTGTTTGTCAATGTCACTGTTCAATAGACTATTTTAGCATTTAGATTAAAACCAACCTAATGTACTATATATATTCTAAGTATTCAGTTCAGAAAATATAAATTTAATATAAATTAAATATATTACAAACTCCCCCATCCCCCTCCTCTGTGAATGCTGCATGTAAATACTCCTGCATTATATGTAAATGCATGCAAATTGTCTGTTACAATTATCATTTTAAGTTGATGTCAACTGTTCAGGTCCACCTCATTTAAAATCCCCTTATTGCTTTGCATAATATAACAATTCCAAAGGGCTTTGATTTTTTTAAGGTAGCATTTGTCAATTTATCAAAACTCATAGAATATTGAGTATTACATACATTATATAAACACACACTTGATTAAGATGATGTAAATTCAGAATCATAAAATGAATAGTTCACTCAACAATAAAAAAATTAAATAAAACTTTACTCACCCTCATCCAAACCAATATGTTACTTTTTCTGTAGAACACACAAAAAGAATCTTTCAAACAAACAGTTTTTCCCCCATACAACAATTAATTCATTACATTTATATAGCGCTTTTCTAGGCACTCAAAGCGCTTTACATAGAATTAAAGTTATGTACAATGGTTAATTGTTACTACTTTTCTGTCAGGCCCCCTAAAAGCCACCATAAAAGCGGTCCATATGACTTATTGTCCAATGACATTATATTCCAAAGTCATATTTAAGTTGAAGATTATCAGTGAATAACGCCTTCAAATTTCAACATGTTCGTCACATAAAGCTGTCACCTGACTTCAGAAGACTTGTAATATAGTCGTATGGACCACTTTTATAGTTTGTCTTTTCATCTGATCTCTCTGTTTGTCCCTCTCTCTCTGCATCTCCTCATCTGCCCTTTGTACGTGTTCAGAAGGAAAGCCTGGAGCCCAGTTACTTCCAACCCATCTCTCTTTCCCTCTCCCTCGCAAGTACAGATGAAGCAGCACAAGACAAACATATAACTATATTTGGGAGGGATGTACTGTATTCTCTATACTCACATATCAGAGGCTATCAGTCATTTGACATTTAGATGTGCTTGCACAGCAAGTCCAGTATCATGATGTATACCAGTATATAAAAAATGTATTGCTCAGTTGCACAGAGTAATGAAATCCCAGTGGAGATATGAACATTTCTGCAATGGAAGGACTTTGTACCAATGGATTAAATTGTGTACGATGCTAAATTTTAAGGAAGGCAGTTTGGTTAAATTATGTGACAGATTTCACTTGGTGGGAATGATGACAGAGAGAAGTTATTTTTTAAATGCGTGTGGGGAAAAAAAGTGGGAAATCATCATGTTTTTCTCTTTGTATCACTGGACAATATGTGATAATATAAACATAAAAATATGACTCAAAATATAAACAGACCAGGATTGCGACTTCTGATTGAGTATCCTTGAGTTTTTGAACATAACAGCTATAGCTATAATGGTTAAAAGCTAGATGGAAAATGTCTTTGACCCGGTTTACGTCAATTGATCAAAAGCATTGTCAAGCACTCTTTCATTCACAGCACCTTCAACTCGGTTCATTCAAACCCTGCTGACTGGAAAATTGATTTTAATCACTTCTGACATGACCGTGGCTGTGTGTGTGTGTGTCTATTTGTTCAAGGTTAGAAGAGTTCAAGCATGTGTTAGCACTGACACATCTGATGTGACCTATACTGGCAACACAGACGCACATGCATACGTGTAAACGTGCATACTGGTAAATCCTACATTATGAGAACAAAATGACATTTTTTGGTCCCGACGAGGAAACAGCTTATAAATCATGCTAAGTGATGTTTTTTGAAAGTGTAAAAATACAGAAAGTTTTCTGTGATGGGTAGGGTTAGTGTAAGGCGATAGAATATACAGTTTGTACGGTATAAAAATCATTATGTCTATGGAAAGTCCCCATAAAACATGGAAATGCGTGTGTGTGTATAAGTAATATTGTAAAGATGACATAAGCGTATGTTTGTATGCAAGTGAATCACCAGCAACAAAAAGTTTTATAGTTGATCAGCAAAAAACTTAACAAATTTCTGGTCAGTTCCTGCAGTTGGTTTTCTTTAACTTAAAAATAATATTGATTAAAAAAAATGTTTTTTGACATTCAGATTTTATCCAACCTGCTCCCTGGAAAAAGAAAAGTGCCACTATTCATTTTTGCAAAACTCAAAAAACATAATACATACGATTCATTGCAGTTTCCAGTTAAAATGAGCACTAGTGGCAGTAAAACCCCAACAAATTTTATTCCTGTTCACACAAATTATGATTACAGGGGATTACAAAGACTATGTTATGACCTCAAAATAGTTTTACCATGATTTAGAATGTGTGCATCTCACCATCAGCTCCATATGTATGGCTTTCCTGATGTAGTAAACTTGCTCAGTAGCTCACTTGGTACAGCACTGCACACTCGTGTACGAGTCCTGTGAAACATGAGTCACGATAAAAGAGCTCTCAAAGAATTGTACAAGTTAAAATGGCTTGGTGGCTTCAGCAAATTAGATTTTATCTCATGTTTGCTTTAGTTAACACTATCGGTTAAGGTCAAGTTTAGCGTAGGTATTACGTTATTTTCAAATACGATAGAGCATTAACCTTTTAGTGTCACTCACTGGAAATTGCAACTGCGATATGTACAACAACCAACACAGTAAACATACAGATACATGTCCATCTGTTTCAGATAAAACTGAACGCGCTCTCAGTGCTGCTCACTGGACATTTTACCTTAAAAGTGTTGC